AAGGAAAAACTCAAGTTTCTGTTTGTGTGTGCGTGCGCCGCGTGCGCATGCCTGTGTGTGAGGATCATAATAACAATGTGAATCGGTTTCAAATGTACCATCATTGACCAGGAATTTGTTTTTGGAGACACTGGTGCAGACATATTGATTACCGCCATGGCAACGTAAATACATACAGGCAAAACAGGACCTCACAGTCACCACAAAGGGGTTGTGCGAGTGTGTGTGTGTGTGTGTGTGTGTGGAAGAGCGGTGTTTTATTGCTGCGGACTCCTCACTTTTCAAAGAGCGAGAGAGTGAGAGGGCTCATGGGTGGGCCCCAAAGAGACTCTTTGGAGATGGAGACGCCACTTCAGAAAACACTTGAGTTCACAAAATGGAGGGAGGAAGGATGTGGAAACAAGGGGTCAATAGTAGATTAAGGAAGACGGGATATCAGATGTTTCTCAGAGCTTGTTTTTGTGGGAGTGGAGTTTGATTTGATGATTGGCCCGGCTCGAGTCTGGCTGCTAATCGCCCAGCTCCAGCACCTGTATTCTGAAATGTTTGCTGCTTTTTTGGCTTTACCCAGAACTACGCTTAAAAAAAATAAAGCCACAGTTGTGCTGGTTGTATTTACTGAGCGGAGGGCAGAGTGTGCTCTTCTGTTCTCACTTTCTCCTTTGCGCTCTGCTTCACTCGATCACACACACTTTATACTCATTTTCACATTAGTCTCCGCGGAGCCTCCAGCCATTAATTGTGTCCCAGTCTGGGAGCGGTGGAGAAGAGCTGGGCACATCCAGCCGAGAGGCAGGCAAGGCTGGGCACAGCTGTCCCCAGAGGAGGAAGCCACTCTCTCATAACGCTGCCCACATGAATTCTCAAAATACTCGTCTCTGAAGATGTTAGTCACAAGAAGAAAATAGGCTGTTTCCTTCAGGTCTAACGCAGGATAATAAGAAAAACATTTGGAGGCATCGCATAGTTCCTGAAACCTTTCTTCTGCGTCTCATTTTTCACCCTTTGACCGCTGGGATTTCACTGCCATCCTATGAGAGGAAGTGTTTAAAAAAATGTCTTTGTGGTTCATGTGTTCCTGAACAGTTTTTCTTCTCTTTGCTTCAGCATCAAAAAGACCAAATTAATTTCTTTGTTTCACTCCCTCCTGTTGTTGATTTTAATAGTTTTTTCCTTTTTACCCCTTTTGTAATATTTTCTTGTGACTCAAGATTCACTTAGTTTACCATATTTATTTAATTACCTTTTCAGTTCTGTTATATTGCTCTTTCCCTCCTCCGTTCTAAAGGCTGGATTAATGGCCTGGTTTCTAATAATATGATTCTTTTCTTTCATCAAGGCTGTCACAGCAAAGACAATAAATGAAAATTGCTGAAAATAATGCAAATGCGTGAGCAATATCCATTATTTAAATTAATCTGCTGCTCTTTATAACTTTGCTAGTTTATAGCTGCTTATGTTAGGAGAATCAAACCCTTTTTGTTCATGATGTTTAATAATATGTCTTTCATGAGGCATCTCACCAATTTAAAATATTCTTTCTCCCCAGTTGATATCGGACCAGCTGGTGATGCTTTTGGAGCTTCTGTTAGAAGAATCAGAGCTGAACGTGGCGTCCTTACATGCTTTGCAGAGAACCTACTGTCTACAAAAACAAGATGCTGAGGTAAGACCTCACACACAGGCTCATATTCACCCACACACACATGCTCAGGCAAGCGAACATATGCAACCAAACTCCACAATCTCCTATTGTAATAAAAAAGTTGAACGTTTCCTCACCATTTCCATTCCAACGTGTAGCACTTAGTGATGCGTAGTAAATTCTGTCCTAATAGCTGCTCCCCTCTTTGCTGCCATTACTGACTAAATCCCACAAGTATTCACTTCATGTTTTAGCAATAAAAAAAAGTTCTTTATAGGCACTATTAACAATGTCGGTGTGTGTGTTTTCCAGTTTGTGCTATGCATATGTATATGAAGCTGCTCACGAGTGTTGCCCCACAAAGCGCTGAGACACAGTACAGGAGCACCAGTGTGAGGCACAGCTGCCCAGAGCCCGTAAAACGTCTACACTAACCTTCATCGTTAACACATGGCTCATCTTGAAAAGAAAGATTAGATACATATTTAGGTTTTTACAAGTTCCTATTAATTATATGAGCTGTTTTGTTGGGGCAGCAATGTATATAATGGGGCTCAGATGTTCTCTTATGCAGAGTCAGTTGAGGGTACACTATATTAGATCCAGACAACTAAAGTTGCATTTAAATGTTTACACTAACACACTAGGTGTTTGATAAGATCCCACCAGGGTTTTTTAGAAATGTTTTTGTAACTTAATTTTAATAATCTCAGAAACTTTAGTTATTGCCCCGGTGGTCCCAAACTGAGGCCCCCTCTGTCTTTGAGTCCTTCTACTGGATAAGGTCTGTTTGGTCGGACTACCTGGAAGAGGGAAGCAGATTCTCATCTGATGTTGCAAGGAAAAAAACTTTCAGTGTTTGCTAAAAATACGCAGGGCCATTATGCACATAGTCATGCATGGAAAAACACACATTGACCAAACATCCACACACCTGCACACACCGGTCCGAAGGCAATGGTCCAGTCCTAATGTTAGTAATCTCATTCAGAGGAGGTTAATCACCTTTGTCTCTCCTTATAAATGTGGTCATTTATTCTCCCCTACGTCTGGAGCTTTCTCCATTTTTCCTCCACAACTGTGCTTTACAATGTTTGATGCTGCCTTCTCTTTGGGTAGTTGATGATGGATACGCTCAAATTTCTTTGATAAATACAGGATCCGGGTCAGCTTAGCCCCTGAAGCCCCTCAGTGTTTACAATGCAGAATATGACTTTTCAGAATATATTGAAATTGGGTGATAGAAATGGTTTATATGATTTCTGAGAGACTGTAAATATGCTGACCCGATTTCTCAGATGGATCCCTTGAAAGCAGCAACACACAATAAACAAAAAATATATTTAGCCAGGTTTGAAGACATTTCTATTTTCGTTTGAATCAACCTGTTTAAAATTTCTCGCTTAAATGCATTAATAGTCACGAATATATAGCAGTCTCACATGCTGCTGATGCTTTTTTCTCTTCATGCTAGGCAGAAAACATATCCATTTGCAAACAAAGCAGAAGGCAGTTTAGGAGTGACGCCTGTACAATGAAAGTGATAACAGTGCTTGCCAATAAGTTACGCACGCACACAACAGCGAAATCAGACATGTGTTTGCGGCTGGCCAGTGCACATGCTGCCGGACGGCTTTGTGTAGATTGTGAGTGACTATGAATATATGTGTGAGTGCGTCTGGGCGCCCGGGCATGTGTTTGCATGTATGAGAGAGGGTGCGTGACTTTGGCCCCACTTCCTTTTCATGTGAGCCTCATGTGATGTGAGATTCTTTGTGACCCCACCTGCACACATGTGCGTGTGTAGTTCCATCAGAGCGTCCATGTGTGTGTTGAGGCCCATCTGTTTGTCAGATATCGCTGACCCTTTTGGTTTGAATTTGCTGCTGAGGTTAGTTTTCCTCCACTAACTGGAGACTTGACTGAACCACATTAAGATCTCTGCATGTAGGCAGCAAATTAGAAAAGATTTTAAAAAAAAGAGAGTTCTCTCAGGTTCATCTGTATATATAAAAAACAAGTGTTGATCAAGCCTCTAAATCCCCATATTCCAATCTGATTGAGCATGAATGGTCAAATCCTCACCTGGTTGACCTCCAATGGGCTGGAGCGTTTGTGTGTGTTAAAATTGGTAGAGAGTGAGGGTGGAGTGGACGTCCAGTAATAAATGAAGGAATGTCACTGTGTAATTGCATGTGCTGTGAGAGAGTGGGGCCCCGTGAGAGGAAACAGTAAAAAAAAAAAAAAAAAAGGGGGGAGTGGGGGGTGGGGGGGGCACCACGCAGCTGCTCTGCCCCAGGGCTCTCCCCAGGAATGCAGGCCAGTGTAGACAACAGCTGCCGGGGCCACACAGGCCAGAAGGCCAGGCCTGGCACTAGAGGGGACACATACTGTACACAGTTGTGTGCCCTTGCAGGAGTATAGACACACACATCATTGTTCCCATCGTAGCTGGAGATGGACCACCATGACACCTCCTCTACCTTTCTGGATTTGATTTTTGCTGAATGAAGTTGACCACATGTGGGACTTCAAAGCCAGTCTTAAGGTCATCTTCATTACTGGATTTCAGTTTTGATTCTCTCCTGCAGAAAAAGGTACAGGGCAGTGCAGAGAAACAAACACCCATTTCCCATTAAAAGGCCGAGCACTTTGCTAGGAAATATTTGATATATAATTTTAGCTGTTTTTATATTCGCTTCCCCAAAATTTACATAGTTGAAATTGAATCAGTCGCCAAATATCCCACATTTGGTCACTGAACTCTCCAAACACTAGTCTATTATCCAGTGTGAGGAGATGATTGTGAATAAGACTAACACCCACGTTGAAAAAAGAAAAAAAAAAGCCAGGGGAAACTGTCACACTTTAAAGAAGTGATGGTGCTTTAAAAGATGTTTCATCTGAAATGTTATCACTCCTCTGCCTCTTTTATCATCCTCTACCTCTTCCAGCCGTGTACATCACAGCTCACAAACACACGCGTGCGCGCACACACACACACGTATGCCCACAGCAGATGATGAAGGATGATGGTTGAGGCAGGGACAGAGCCAGTCTCTGATCTCTCCTGTAACCGCGGCAACAGAGGTCCTATTGATCCTCAGGGAGAAAGGCCAGGCATTACCTTTCCACACACACACTTACAGTAAAAATCTGCCTTTACATACACACTGAACACACACGTTTAGAGAAATAAATGCAATCTCTTAAACATGAATCTCTTCAAACTAGTTATTTATTTGACTACATTCCTAAAAGAGTTTTTGAAAAATTGTTATGCTGTCAACTCTTATCAATTTTGAATCGGCATAAACTGCATATTTACAATGTATGAATACGTACACATGCTCCATTGAGGGTTGCATTTCCGTTCCAGGTCCGGCACCGCTGGTGTGAGCTGGTGGTTAAACACACGTATGCTCAGGCTTATGCCGATGTGGAGCACTTTCTGATTCATGATCAGGTAAACAGCTGCAGAATAAAAGCTTCATCCACGTTTCAAACCCTGATAGGAGACTAAATTGATGGTTCGTGTGTGTTTGTGTGTGTTACAGGCTATGGGTGTGTACCTGTATGGGGAGCTAATGGTTCATGAGGATCCTGAGCAGCAGGCTTTGGCTCGCCGCTGTCTCTCATTGGTCCGGGAGGAAATGGACCAGTCGGCACGCAAGGTGGTGGAGGAAATGATCCTGTGACACTGGAGGTAACGTCGTGTTTTGTAGTGCTCAGCGTACTACATTTTGATCCTCTGATTTCATTTTCTTTTCTCATCTTTCATATGGGAGTTAAAATAAATGATAAGAGCTAATAGACTCTATTCAGACTTTAATCAGACTTGTCTTATGCTATTTACATCTATTTGTTGTGGGAAATCTGTTTAAACCTGTTCATTTCGGTTTATTAAGTTTGTACATTTATTTTTCTGCTCAGATTTATTCCATGTGGTCATTACAGACCAGTAACTCACTTTCTATCATAACATTGCAGGGATATTTGATGTGTCTGAGTACATAGACTGAGAGCTTCAACACACTTGCCAAATATTCTGTTCTATCCTCTGATTTGTCTTTGATGTTTTAGGATTATTATTGTTAACCATCTTGAGTCATTCTATCTCTGTGTACTGAGGCTTTAGCTCATGAAGGCCCCTGTGGTCTGCAATAGCTCCTTTAAAAGACGGCTTTGTGTTGAATTGATCCTGCCCCATCTGCCTTGGTGGACAGTGTGCACGAGTCACTTGGCTACCTATGCTGCACATTCCTTCCTGCGCTCCCCGGACTGTGTGCACGTGCACACACGGCTGTTTGGAGAGTCTGAATGGGGCCTTTTCCATTGGTCCACCACAGCCCCGTCAGGATGTGTTTGTCAGAGAATGAATCTAGGAATTTGTTCCTCAAACAAACGAGAATGAAGACAGAAAAGGAGAGAAAACGGGTCATTGAGCATTTTCTGAGGTGCTTAGATGTGGCCAGAATTTAACCCCGTGCACACAGGAATTCATGTTGTGTGCGTTGTACATACACGCATAGCCGCAGACGTCAAGTAGCAGGTTTCTGGACCACTGTGAAGGGTTTAGGGGTTCTGTGGCCTGACACCTGCTGACGGAAAGAGTTTGAAAGTATAGGGAAGAGGACAAGGAGGAGAGGAAACAGGTCACTTTGAAACTGCTGATCTGTACACAACAGTCCTGCTTTTACTGATGAAAACTTTGGAATAATGACAGAAGTCAGTTAAATGGATTCCAGCCTGACAAATTAAATTCAGGGACAATATTTCAAGGTTACTGATAAATAACTGTAGCATACAATAATAGGATAGTAGAGCTTCAGGAAGTGTCCCTTCCTTCAGCATGTGCATAAAAAAGAAAAAATATTTATATATATGAAATACTGAAAGACTTGTTTTAATTTAATCTTGTTTTGATTGATATGACTGACAGAAATGAAAGGTGAGAAAAAGAGCCAGACACTTATGGCAGAATTTAATTAATATCATTTTCAATTGGTGTTCAACACTGGCAAGGTGAAAGCAATTGCTTTTTTTGTTTTGTTTTTTATGTAGTAACCTTATAAAACACTGGGCTCCTTTTTGGAATAGCAATGAATTACCTTTTGATTAAAAAAAACTCATCAAACCAATTAGTGTTTCAGAAGCTTAAGGCTTCAACAGATGACTGTTTTCTTAATTTTTTAGTCCATGAAATGCCAAAATGTGTGTAAACGTACAGTGTCAGGAGGTATGTGTTTAGTGTTGTGTGACTGATAATTAGAATACTGATGAGATTAAACTTTTTTGTAGTATTTCCATTTGACCTTCCTAAATAAAACAGTCTAACAGAATTTATTAATGTGTAATTGTTACACAAAAATCCTTTCTATGTAAGTCGACGCATCACCACTCTTGCAGTGACTAACATACAGAAAACAGGTGTACTTCAGAATCAATACATTCACCTCAATAACATAAAATGCCACCCAACACACTCCTCAGACCACACTAATCAGTTATCAAAACACGGTTTCCTTTTCAGAATCAGAAATACTTTAATAATCTCCATTTTGAAGTTGACGTCACCTTTTTCTACATTTCCTTCAACCATGTTGAAAATAAGAGTTTATTTAAGTGACTCTCACAGGCCAATTAACTTATCTTGCTACTTAAAAATTGCGGCCGTGATTGAATCATTTATCCTGTATCTTACTTCTGATCTTGGATGAATAATCCAAATGAGAGAAGGAAGATGGGACGAAGAGGCTGGAAGCAGCACGTCCCGCAAAAAAGAATGATTGGAATAGTTACCAGTTAATTTACTGAATGCGAACTAATGAATCATGACCTATTAATGTGGTCTGAGCATGTGTCTGAGTAGGCTTTGGTTTAAATGCGCTCAAATCTCTGTTCTGGTAATCACATTGCTCAGCTCTGACTGGTATATAACTGCATTCTATCCCCCTCTCATGCCACAGTGTAGAAAACATACAAACAGAATCCTCTGAAACTGAATAAATGAATATTGGATAATAATTTTAGAGCAAAATGTGGCCTAAGATAAATATTTCGGGGCCTTCTAATTAGCTCACTCTGAGCTGACAGGTTTTGATTCACAACTGAGTGCATACACAGGTATCTGTTTCATTACCTGTCACATGAGGCTTCTGGAGTCTTCTTTAGCTCAGGCCGTTACTTAAGACGCTGCTAAAACTCATCCACATCAACCCCAGTGACTTATAGCACAAAATCCTTTTTCAGACTGCAACTGGGCTGACACAAGACACATGCTTTTATCTTCAGACACAAACACACAAACACACACAAACAGGTTTATGCGTTTGTAGACGGGATGTGAAAGGCTTTCTCTACGAGTGTTTGGCATCTGGCTCAGGCCTGATAAATCTCCCTGACGCACGGATACAGTGGGAGTCTCTCCGGGCTTACAGATCTCTTGTCATCATTTGTCACTCTATCTGCGGAGCCTCGCATGTATCGGGGGCGTTAAATGAAAGACACGGAGCATTTAGCGATTGATATCCTAACTTCTGCTTTTTGCCTCCTTTTGGATTGATCCAGACCGGCCTCTGTAAACATCGGTGGATCACAGCGGTCAGCTGAGATTAGATCAGAGATCTCCTTCCAATTAAAATGATGGATGAACAGACCACCTTGCTGCCTTTTCATACTACACTGTAGGGAGATGGATTTATGTTCCACGGCTCAGTCAGTGTTCCCTTATTGTCCTCTCTTAAGCAGAGCAGTCCTCCCTGTACCCTTTCACACCCCCACACACATTTTACTGTGGGATTAGGCGAGGCGGGCCGAGAGGGTTTTAACTGAAAACAACATGTCTGTCAAGGCACGCTCCCCGCTCTGTGTTTTTAAACCTAAAAAGCACAACCTTTTACAAGAGTAGGGTGGTCTCCCTCCGTCCCGTCCCCCCCCCCACCCCCCACCCCGCCGCCCTCCCCTTTCACATTCCCATTCTTTTCTTCCCCGGTACATGCCTCTGGAATCCCTCTTGATCCGCTTAATGAGGGGCATATCGCCGGGTTAGCCGAGCGTGGCGAATAGGAGACGAGAAGTAAGGTAACTAAGGAAAGAGTGAGGCGGCGAGGATCTACAGGTCCGTCTTTCAGGGTTTGCGGTCTGAAGCCAGACGTGGGGGGGTGGGGGGAGAAACGGGGAGGAAGGGCAGGGAAAGTTTAGTTTCAGCGTGTTGTGAGTTGGCAGACGATTGGAGCTGAACTCGAAGATGTTGGTAGAAAAAAAAAAACACTGAGAGAGGAGGGCTTGTTCTTTCATGTCTGGGCTGTGAGGGTTCCTGGCGTGCTGATTTGTGACTTATGATAAAAATCACATTGCCAGGGATTACCACACAGCCCTGACCCAGCCGGCTGCCATAGCAACCAGAGCCTCTCCTCGCACACACAGACACACACTAACTTGCCCCCCAGCCCTCCCCGAAACTTACAAACTGAAGACGATACGATTATTTAAGGGTGCGTGCGATTGTGTTCGAGGACCGAGGTGATTTGAAAGTGTGGCGATGAAAAAGGGATGATGAAGGGAGCTCATCTTCATCACACACATCAGTCTACCCCCCCCCCCCCCCAGGTTTTGTATCCTCTCTCCAGCCAGACACAGAGCTTAGCTGATTGGTGAACAGTGATTGATTTCCTCTTTGTTCACAGTGGCTAAGTTCTGCACCTGAGGAGAGCATGACCCAGACAAGCAGACAATGAAAGAAATGCTCCTTCAAGAATGCGTGTCTATGTGGACAACGGAGCCCCATGCCCCCACTTCAATTACCTAATTCACAGAGCTCCCTCCACTTTGTCCTTTTTCCCGATTCCTCTGCATCTTCTCCTCTTTCTCCCGTCTGTTCTCACCGCTCCTTCCCTTGCCTCCTCTCTTACAGAGCATGTCTATAAAACCCTCCCACTCGCTGCAAAGAATTAAGCTCACGGGCCTCCTGGCGAATTTGAAAGACTTTTCAGCTAATGAGCGCACACACTAGGCTCACCTGCTTTGTCTGCCGTCCTTTCATCTGTCCGCGCGGCTCCCACCCCTTTGTTTCTGCCTCCTTTAAGTTGGGTTTATGAAATATAATCTTGAGTGCGATGCTGCGTTGGGTCTGGTGAAGGTAAGAGACGGGTACTTCAGGAAAGGCTGTACTTTTCCTACTAATGAGGCCTATCGAGACCACCAGCCCTCCTAACTGGTGCTGATAGATATTGAACCAGTCCGACACAAGTACCCACAATCCCCCTCATCCTGACTGTCTGTACCACCAGAACACACAGAAATTGTGACAGGCAAAGTATAAATGCAAGACAGCAGAAATACACAACAGTATTTTACTAATGATGATTAATCAAAGCAACCCTGAGCTCCATTTATTAATATATTTTTAAAAAACTCTTAATCAGCTCTGTGCATTTATTTGGAAAACATTGCTGTGGTATAGAAGTGATCCTGTCTTTCAGCAGGACTTTATCCATGCGGCTTCCCTGCTTGTTACACAGGCATTTACAAGTTCCGGGTATGCTCCCAAGCCACCGGCGAGCTTTCCATGAGTACTTAACATGGTTCCAGGAATTAACTGCAATATTGAAGTGAGAAGAGTTTGTGTGTGACAGAGCATTTCTTTGTCATAACTCAGTCTTTATGCCTCTCCACCTTCCTCTCTGCAGCAGGGTGC